AAAATTGAGTGGGAAGGCAGATCCAGCAATTAATTTTTGCCTCAACATTTAATTCTAAAAACAGTAAAATTAAAATTAAAAAATAAAAAAATAAACAAGAGTTTGATAATTTTATTAGTTGTTTAAGCTGCTCTGTTTCGTTTTCACTTTTTCCTGCACCCTTGGCTGTCAGTGCGATGGCTTCCCTTGTCTACTTTAAGTTCAAAGCCAACGTCAAGCAGGACTCTATCCCCTTTGACGGCTCCGCTATATCCGTTAAGGATCTTAAGACAGCGATCAGGACTAAGTGTTGTCTTCATTCAGCAGATTTGGATCTGAAACTCGAGGATAAAAACGGGAAAAGTCTGCCTTATTTTATCATATTGTTTAGTATACTCCAAGGACGATGAGCTCATACCAAAATACACGAGCATTTTAGTCAGACGTGTCCCCCGAATGGGAAACGATCCACAACGCAGAAAGTTAGCGTAAGTTGGTGTTTATCGGCATCTTTAGTTTATCCGGAGATGCAGCCAAAAAAGAACTCCATAAAAGTGTAAGTTTCTTTCCCCGTTGGCTTGCTTAGTTGCATAGCCTAGCCTAACTTTCGGTTATATTGTTTCTCTAGTCCGGCGGGCCTTCTGATGCGGTACACATCCCCAAAGTACTGTTAAAATCTTTTATTCATTAATTAGAATGTGAGTCTTGCTGACTCCGATCTTACCGAGGAAGAGAAGATACGTGTCATGATCGAACGTTCATCTGATGCCTATGAGAAATGGTACGCTCATTCGTTCTTATCTTTCCTAGTTTAACCAAAGCTAAGCCTTTCGGCATTCCTCCCCCGGCCTATATTTGTCACAAATGTAACCAACCTGGGCATTGGATCCATAATTGTCCAGGCGTCAAGGATAAATCAGGAAAGCTTATGGACCCTAGGAACATTAAAAGGCCTACTGGTATTCCACAAGATTTTTTGCTAGAGGTTGATGCTGACACTCCCGGAGCATATTTGGGAAAAACCGGGAAGTACATGGTTCCAATCAAGGACGCGTAAATCTTTTTTTTCTTATTTGGTCACGTTAGAGAAGCTTTCGCACAAGGAAAAAAGGACAAGCGCCCTTTTTCTGTGGAGGAGAATCCTCCTTATATTCCCCCAACTAACCGAAGACCACCAAAGCATCTTACATGCCCTCTGTGTACTGATGTTTTCAAAAATGCGGTGCTGGTTGGTTGCTGTGGCACTACGTATTGCAACGACTGCATAATGGGATACGCTTTCGATTCTCAGATCAAGGGTCTTCAGAAGTGCCCGAATTGCAGTGCCCCCCTCACTGACCATGAATCAAGTGTCTTTGAAAATGCCACTGTAAGAAGCATGATCATCGAATGGCATAACTCTACGCTAGCAGAAAACAATGAACTTGCGCGGTCTCCATCGCACTTACTCAAGGTTGATGAAGGCAAGCAGCTCATAAAGTCTTTGGAGGGCGAAGGAGTAAGTATTTTCGTTTTTAGTTGACCCTTATAGCTTTTCCTTAATCACCGTAGAGTCTTGAGGCCAAAGCAATCATTGTCGATGTTGCCCGTAAAATTATCTCCAAAGACCGAGCATGTGGAGGATAAATCCAGAGCGAAAGTGGATACCAACTCTGATCTTCCGGATGCTGGTGACGTCAAGCCGAATTTTTCCTCAACGATTACAGATTCTTCTGAATTAACTGTTACAACCAATAATATCATCACATCCACAGATTTGCCTGTCGGCACAAACTCTGTCTCAGACAATAAAACATCTCAGCCATCTGCATTTTTGTCGTTGCCCGCATCGACCGATAATGGTAGTACTATCAGTAACAATCTTAGTGCACCAAACATTCCTGCATTAGCCACTGAAGTTAGTTCTCAGATTTCCACTTCCCAAAACGCCGATTTAATAGCGCTAGCTCCTATTATTTCCGTCGCGCCTCCTAGCTCTAGTTGTCTAGTCATTCATTCAAGTTCTCCTCCCTCAGCAAGTGTCTCCGGTTCAGGCTCTGGAGAAGTTACTTTTGCGAGTTCTATTGCTCGTTGCGTGCCGTGCATTGTACCGCCTAACGTAGGAACTCAGGAGGTACCCTTAGTAAATGCGTTATATGGACTTACCTCCACTACTAGCATCCTTAATTCAGGAAATCTTACTAGTTTGCAGGATTGGAGTGCTGCAAATAACGTCACTTTAGTGGCATCTCAACCTCCAAGTTACCTTGACATGGCACTTTTGCAGGCACAGGCTGTTGGGCAGCCACTCCAGACATTTGCCTTGCCACCCCAAGCAGCCGGTTTGGTGTCTGCGACCGGTGATCATCGTCACGCGATGGTAGTAGGCAACTCTGATGGCACTGGGGTTGCTCGGAAACTACTATCAAAGGAAGAGTTCTACCGGTTGAAAAAGCGGCTGATGGAATCATCGCAGCTAAGGTAAACCGTCAATTCTCAGTATTTTCCTAGCCTTGATGTAGGAGGATCACATTTGTTCTAAAGACTATTCCTTTTTAAAACACTTTTAAGCCCTACACAACTTTGGTGAAAAATCGATGCGTCTTATAGGGCTCGCCTTCGCTCAAATTCTTAATGCATGTCTAATGCTCACGTTTTTCGATGTGCAATTAGTTTTGCGGGCCGAGTATTCGCTTCGGATAAGCCTGTACATCGTTATCTCGATCGATATTATTTTTTATCGATCAGGTTGTGGTTTTATTAAGCGGTTATGGATATATCTGCTTAGATTAGGTGTCTGTAGATTCGGGATATTTATCAGGGCGTTGATTTTGTCGCAACTGGCAGGACGGGGCGCCAGGACGCAGGGGTAGCCTCGCGGATGTTGCGTATTTTTTGTTTTTAATTATTCTAGGTTCTATCTTCTGGTTGATTTTTGTTTCAAATAAAAATGTTTTTCCAAAGACTTTTTGATTTGGCTTTCTCATTCCATCGAGTATATTTTTTGAGATTGTAACTTTGCACTTCCTGACCTGTTGTACATGGTGCATTGTTGAACATTCTATTTATTGATCTGGACTGGTGTATCTGATCTTATCCTACGACGATCTATTGCAACTGATCGAATGATTCGATCTGCTAGGCACCGACGGTATCGTTCATCGCGATCGAGAAGCCCCGATTACTATTATCGAGGTCCTGAGGATCATTATCATCGCCACCATCGACATGATCGATACAGAGAGGAGCGCCGCAGTAGGAGTCGCCATCATCGCAGTGGTCACTCCGGCCGATATGGTAATGGCGCCTATCGACGAGATGAAAGGCATCACTATTCATCTGAGGATGATTCTCGGGATGTCCCTCAGGAAAGAGAAAAATTATTTACATCTAGCTCGAGTATTCCACTGTCCAAGCGGCCACCGGGTGATCTTCGAGAGCGCCTTGGTCGAAAGCATCGTTCGCCCATAGATGAGTCATGTTTTGGACCTACTAGTCTTAGCCATCGCTTTGTGCGAAGGCGGTATGACGATTCTCTTCCTTCAGATATTTCAGATAAAGACTGTAGGGCTTCGTCTACAGCTCACCGCAGGTCTGATCAGGTGCATGGACCCAGAGATATACAAGTCGTTGTTGGCAA